TCGCGGATATTCAAGATGACAAGGCCGTGTACAGCGAGTCTAAAATAACTACTAGAATGTATGATTTGTCGTCGCTGAGATAGTCCAGTGGTTGTGTCGCTGGACTGCCAATCCAGATGCTTGGGTTCAAATCCAACCTTGGACACTTTTTCACACTCAAAACGGCAATTTATGTGTAGTGAGCAATTGTCACCTGTAGAGTGCAGTATTGTGTTGGGCACCAGTGGAGAGAAGAGAGAAAAGGCAGTCCTGTGGCATAGATCCATGGTTTTCAATGCATGGGCGTTACCCGCTGTGACGTCACACACAGGTTAGAGCATAGACAACTTAAATTCATGAAAAACACGTTCTTTTTATAAAATATAGGATTTTTTTTGCCGGAATCTCTTTCAAATTGACATTGTCATGCAATTTTGATATCCACTATTTTTTTTTTTAAAACCCGTCATAAGGTCTTTAATTGAACATTTTAGGACGCATTTGCAGAGGATCTGATTATAGATTTAGGTTAGGTTTATATTTGGGTCACTCACCGTTCAGAATTCTTTGTTAACTTTTCATGTAGTTCCAGAGAGTTTTATAGTTAGCTAGCCTAGCTGTTACCCGTCTAGTCACGTCACGGGGAAACATTTGGGAACTAACTATTTTATATGTATCATTTAAAAAAGATAATGCCCATTACAGCTTTGAATATTAAAGGCGTTATACCCGTTTCTGCAAGGTTTGAATGTTTAGCACCGCCCCCCAACTCGCTCAATGGCTTCTCATTTCCCCCACGCTCTCATCCCACAGAGCCATCTAGCTCAATTTGCTATCTGATATGTATACTAACATTAGCATTAGCACAACTTCTTGTAAGCTGTACAACAATCACTGATGAAATGGTACTAAAGCAACGCACTGTTAACACAATATATAGGTAAAAGAATACTGCTACAGTGCCTTGCGAAAGTATTCGACCCCCTTGAACCTTTCAACATTTCGCCACATTTCAGGCTTCAAACGTAAAGATATAACATTTTATTTGTTGTCAAGAATCAACAACAAGTGGGACACAATCGTGAAGTGGAACGACATTTATTGGATAATTTTAACTTTTTTAACAAATAAAAACTGAAAAGTGGGGCGTGCAATATTATTCGGCCCCCTTGCGCTAATACTTTTTAGCGCCACCTTTTGCTGCAATTACAGCTGCAAGTCGCTTGGGGTATGTCTCTATCAGTTTTGCACATTGAGAGACTGGAATTCTTGCCCATTCTTCCTTGCAAGTAGTAGTAGTAGAAGTAAGTAATCTTTATTTATATACCGCCTTTTCACCACATCGGAGTCTCAAAGCGGTTTACAATTGTTATTTTTGGGAGTGGGGGTGCCAGTACAGGAGGCACATGTCAGACCTATTGTACATATTTTTAGTGGTAGGGGAAACCGGAGCACCCGGAGGAAACCTACGCAGACACAAGGAGAACATGCAAACTCCACTCAGAAAGGCCCTGGTCCGACCGGGATTCGAACCCAGGACCTTCTTGCTGAGAGGCGAGAGTGCTATCCACTCAGCCACCGTGCCGCCCAAAATTGCAAAAACAAAACAGCTCGAGCTCAGTGAGGTTGGATGGAGAGCGTTTGTGAACAGCAGTCTCAGCTCTTTCCACAGATTCTCGATTGGATTCAGGTCTGGACTTTGACTTGGCCATTCTAACACCTGGATACGTCTATTTGTGAACCATTCCATTGTAGATTTGGCTTTATGTTTTGGATCATTGTCCTGTTGGAAGATAAATCTCCGTCCCAGTCTCAGGTCTTTTGCAGACTCCAACAGGTTTTCTTCCAGAATGGTCCTGTATTTGGCTCCATCCATCTTCCCATCAATTTTTAGCCATCTTCCCTGTCCCTGCTGAAGAAAAGCAGGCCCAAACCATGATGCTGCCACCACCATGTTTGACAGTGGGGATGGTGTGTTCAGGGTGATGAGCTGTGTTGCTTTTACGCCAAACATATCGTTTTGCATTGTGGCCAAAAAGTTCGATTTTGGTTTCATCTGACCAGAGCACCTTCTTCCACATGTTTGGTGTGTCTCCCAAGTGGCTTGTGGCAAACTTTAAACAAGACTTTTTATGGATATCTTTGAGAAATGGCTTTCTTCTTGCCACTCTTCCATAAAGGCCAGATTTGTGCAGTGCACGACTGATTGTTGTCCTATGGACAGACTTTCCCACCTGTACTGGAAATTCCAATGCTTCAAATGAATAAATCCGAGAGGAAACAGGACTTGTCTTTTGTGCAGTTTATTTACAGAGGTGATGAATACAATCTATGACATTTCTGTGCAGAGAAGTGTCAGACAGAAGCGGTCCATGCGATCGCCTGTACCGCTTCTCTCTGGCCCTCCTCATTCCACACATTCGATAATATACTTGGACAAGAATCAGAGAACAATGAGCACACGTCACGGATGGGGCAAAATGGGATGAGTCGTAGACAGCTGCAGATAAGAAAGATAAGGTAGATGGGCAGAGACCGATACATTAGGTACAGCAAGAACTTTTGAGATTAGCCCACCTGCGGAAAGCAACAGAAAGCACACGGAGTCTTATGGCAGAATGTCCCTTTGTGTTTGAAGACAATAGAGTCTTTGTGTAATGCAAAAGTGAGTTATGGGAATACAATCTGCAGTATCGGGAAACTGTAAAATGTATCTGTCAGCTACACAACATAATCACACAATCTCCTGATGCTGGGAATCTGGCCATGACACACCTCAGCTGTAGTTATCTGCAGTTCATCCAGAGTGATCATGGGCCTCTTTTCTGCATCTCTGATCAGTCTTCTCCTTGTTTGAGATGAAAGTTTGGAGGGACGGCCGGGTCTTGGTAGATTTGCAGTGGTCTGATACTCCTTCCATTTCAATATAATTGCTTGCACAGTGCTCCTTGAGATGTTTAAAGCTTGGGAAATCTTTTTGTATCCAAATTCGGCTTTAAACTTCTCGGACCTGCCTGGTGTGTTCCTTCGTCTTCAGGGTTCTCTCTGTGCTTTAAACAGAACCCTGAAACTATCAAAGAGCAGGTGCATTTATACGGAGACTTGATTACACACAGGTGCATTCTATTTATCATCATCAGTCATTTAGGACAACATTGGATCATTCAAAGATCCTCACTGAACTTCTGGAGTGAGTTTGCTGCACTGAAAGTAAAAGGGCGGAATAATATTGCACGCCCCACTTTTCAGTTTTTTATTTGTTAAAAAAGTTTAAATCATTCAATACATTTCATTCCACTTCACGATTGTGTCCCAATTTTATATCTTTATGTTTAAAGCCTGAAATGTGGCGAAATGTTGAAAGGTTCAAGGGGGCCGAATACTTTCGCAAGGCACTGTAGTTTTGTATCCAAATTTATTCCATAAAACATTGGAATATATTTGTGTATTTAATTATAATACATTTAACAGCTCCTCACAGCAGCAGTAGAACACTCCATTGACTTGAATGTAATTCTACCGACATTTTTTCTTGATAACAGAACTCTCAAATCAATAAAGACCGCTGCCCTTTGGCAACGCAATCTCTGTTTGTAATTCAGGTGTGTAAAATACTGCCATTACTCCGCAAGTACAACGAGAGAGAAGCTAGCGGAGCTCCAAAAACAACTATATATCTATCAATCAACACCATTAAATGTTAATCGGACAATACAGTATACATATACATCCTTAACACACATGCACGGACAATTCCTGAATTTCTTGTTATCGTTTTCATGACCAAATTACTATTTTAATGTGACAAAAAGCGATCGCGAAAAACCCGGAAGTAACCATTAACATGTAGTTCCAGGGAGCTAGCTAGCTTAGCTGTTACTTGCCTAGCACGTCCCGGTGGAACCTTTGGGAGCTAACTATTTTATTTGCAGTTATTGAATACATTTCGAATTGTAAGGGCTGTCTAATATGTGTTCGAATATATATTTTTTTTTTAATTTTAGAATTATATTCGAATTTTGAAGTCGAAGCCCTGGTGTTTAGCAGCGCTGTAGAGGCTAGAAGACGCAGGCTGGTCGCTGCTCGTTCTGTGAGTGGAGGAGAACGAGCGTCCCGCTGAGACTCTACTCAGCACTTTTCACTGCTTGTAATTCTTACACAGCTGAATCAATTACCTCAAGTTTTCAATGAAATTACGGATTACGGATGAGCTGAACTCTCCTGAATATTTGGGCATTGTCTGGTCCTCCCGGTTCTGCGCAGTGAATTAGCGCAAAGCATGATGGGAGATATCTCCTATCATGCGTCGCGCCAAACGTGCGTGTGTGGCTTTCATGCATGCGCAATCAGAGCTGAACATCAGAGCAGCGGAAGACCGGAGCCAGAGCGGGAAGGCAAGGAGCAGAGTTTGTGGCAGTAAAGTGTGGATTTAAATAAAACCGAAGGATTTAAGAAGAAGAAAAGTTCAGGATGACAAGGGACACTAAAATCCCCTCAAAATCCGATCTTTATGAACGCTGTAGGCTCTCTGTCAGCTGAGGTCGTGCTGTTTTAATTTACATTGAGTTCTATGGGACTTTTTTCTGGGTAGCCCTCGTGAATTTAGTCTGCAGTACTACGGGCGCCCCCTGTGCCCATGGGTGGGACAGCTATAAGCTAGTAATACCCTATCCAGTTATTAATATGGATCCATGGATGGTTGACAGCCCTTGGCAAAAGGGGACGGCATTGTGGATTTTGAGCTATAACTAAGATAAGGGAAGGCGGGACTTATCCGTAATAATTTATAAAATAACTTATTTTATATTAACATTCAAACCCAGGAGGTCAATTTAATACAATTATTAAAATTTGTAATTAATTTAGAGTTCCAGGCTATCACTGGAAACACATTGCATTATATATATATTTTTTTTAGTATATTTATATCCCTCACTTATAACTTACAACATGAATAAATACAATGACCATGTTTATAATGTTACTTGTTGCTTACATGCATGTCCCTCCCACTCCCACAGTAGATCTCCAGGTGCCAAACATCTCTGCATTCTCCCCTGACCAGCAGCAGTGGTCTCAGAGCGGCGTGGAAGTCACCAGGGGTCAACGTTTTGTCATAGACTGCTCCACTTCTGCCTGCTCCCCAGAAGGACTTTTCATATTGAGCTTCCCTGCCTCCAACAGTTCCATCACTGAGCCTTCCCTCAACCACTCTGCCTCCTTCCACTTCCCTGAGTCCCAGCAGCAGCACCAGGGCATCTACAGCTGTGTGTTCCAGATCACTGGGGCCGGACGCACCTACACCTCCCCCACATCGGCACCCCTCATGGTGACAGTGAAGCGTAAGTGCAGGCGCAGGAAAATATAGCAAATGTAGTTTTCTTTAGACAGACTTTAGACACTTTTAAAACCACTTGAACCCACAATTGTCCTAAATACCTTTGAGTTTTTATACTGTATTGGGGAATGTAATAATCATAATTATGGATAATAGTTTTGCATAACATATATTGTTTGCTGCATGATTGGAAAACATAAATGATAGTGATGACATTTATTGTAAATGCTGATACATGCCATGGTGGATATGGTTAGACTCCTGCAGATGTGTGACATACAAATCAAATCCTACAGGCCCGGATGATCGTGGAAGCTGAAGTGGAAGTGGAAGCTATGCAAATTGCGACGTTTTGGCGTTATGCCTTCATCAAGCAAACATGAAAAGAGCACCAGGAAGTCCTCTTAAATAGGGTGTACAGTCACCACACCCACAGAGCAATGCACAAAAAACACATGAACCACTAAGTGACTGACATTCAAAGATAGCAGTCAGACAGAATACTATATATATATATATATAAATTCTCACCTTTTGCCCTCCGCGGGCGGTTATCCCTCTCTAAGCTCGGGTCCTCTGGGAGCTTGAGGGTTCTGCGCAGTTCTGCTGTTCTGCTGTTCCTAGCACTGCACATTTCTGGACCGAGGTTGTTCCAGGGATCCGCTGTAACCACTCATCTAGCTTCAGGGTCACTGCCCCGAGTGCACCGATCACCACGGGCACTACTGTCACCTTCACCCTCCAGGCCCTCTCCAGCTCCTCTCTGAGACCTTGGTATTTCTCAAGATTTTTTCCTCTGCCCTTTGTCTACCACCACGATGTGAGGTTGGTTCGCCATTACCATTCGGTCGGTCTGTATCTGGAAGTCCGACAGGATCTTTGCACGCTCATTCTCCACCACCTTTGGAGGAGTTTACCACTTAGACCTTGGAGTTTCCAGCCCATACTCTGCACATATGTTTCTGTACACTATGCCAGCCACTTGGTTATGGCGTTCCATGTAGGCCTTCCCTGCCAGCATCTTGCACCCTGCAGTTATGTGTTGGATCGTCTCAGGTGCCTCTTTGCACAACCGACACCTTGGGTCTTGTCTGGTGTGGTATATCTGGGCCTCTATCGCTCTGGTGCTCAGGGCCTGCTCCTGTGCAGCCATGATGAGTGCCTCTGTGCTGTAGGCCAGCCCTTTCTAGCCATTGGTAGGACTTCTTGAGATCAGCCACTTCTGTTATGCTCCGGTGGTACATGCCGTGTAGGGGCTTGTTCTCCCATGATGGGCTCTCCTCCAGCACCTCCTCATCTCGCCACCGCCTGAGACATTCACTGAGTACGTCATCTGTTTTGGCCTTCTCCATGATGTAGTTATGGAGTTTGGATGTTTCGTCCTGGACAGTGGCTCTCACACTCACTAGTCCTCGGCCTCCTTATTTACGGCTTACGTACAGTCTCAGGGTGCTGGATTTGGGATGGAACCCGCCATGCATGGTAAGGAGCTTTTGAGTTTTAACATCCGTAGTCTGAATCTCTTCCTTTGGCCACCTGATTATTCCTGCAGGGTATCTGATCACTGGCAGGGTGTAGCTGTTAATTGCCCGGGCCTTGTTCTTGCCATTGAGCCGGGTTCTTAGGACCTGCCTTACTTGCTGGAGGTATTTGGCAGTTGCCGCTTTCCTCGTCACCTGTTCGAGGTTGCCATTTGCCTGTGGTATACCGATATACTTGTAACTGTCCTCAACATCTGCTATTGTTCCCTCTGGGAGTGAGATCCCTTCTGTATGGACTACCTTGCCTCTCCGAGTCACAATCCTGCTACATTTCTCGAGTCCGAATGACATCCGATGTCATGGCTGTAGATCCTGGTGGTTTGGATCAGAGAGTCGATGTCTCTCTCGCTCTTGGCGTACAGCTTGATGTCATCCATGTAGAGGAGGTGACTGATCTTTGCTCCGTTCCTGAGGCGGTATCCATAGCCAGTCTGGTCAATTACTTGGCTTAGAGGGTTGAGGCTTATGCAGAACAGTAGTGGGGACAGTGCATCTCCTTGGTAGATACCACATTTGATGGTCACTTGTGCGAGTGGCTTGCCATTTGCCTCAAGGGTGGTCTTCCACATTCCCATCGAGTTTGCAACGAAGTCCCATAGAGCCCTGTTGATATTGTACAACTTCAAGCATTCCATGATCAATGTGTGTGGCATTGAGTCGTAGGCTTTCTGGTAATCAATCCAGGCTGTGCACAGGTTGGTGTGTCGTGACCGGCAGTCTTGGGCGACTGTTCTGTCAACCAGGAGCTGGTGTTTGGCTCCACTGGTGTCTCTACCAATGCCCTTCTGTGGTAACCTGTTGTGGAGAGACAGGTTATTGGCCGGTAGTTGGAGGGGACTGCACCCTTGACAGGGTCCTTCATGATCAGGACCGTTCGCCCTTCGGTTAGCCATTCTGAGTCCCATCTCTCAGCATCTGGTTCATTTGTGCTGCTAGGCGCTCATGGAGTGATGTGAGTGTCCTTAGCCAGTAGGCATGGACCATATCAGGGCCAGGTGCTGACCAGTTTTTACCTGAGACTCTTTCTCGGATGTCTGCCTCTGTGATGGTAACTGAGTTCTGTTCTGGGAGGTGGCTGTGCTCCTCTCTCAGGGACACCAGCCATGGTGCACTGCTGTTATGTGCTGCATCCTTCTCGGTGGGTCTGCTCCCTTGTTGTTACCCTGCCACTGAGCGTACACCTTCGTTTGGTTGTGTTGCGAACAGCCTGTTCACCCTTCTGGCTTCATTCTCTTTAGTGTACCTCTGTAGGCGCCTGGCCAGGGCTTGGAGCCCTTTGTTTGGCAGTTTCGAGTGCTTCAGGTATGGTCATCTGGCTGTACTTTCTGGGTACTGGTCTTTTCATTGCACCTCTCTGGGCCTCTGTTAATTGACTCACTTCTCTCCGTGCCGCCTTGATCTTAGCCTCCAACCGTCTTTTCCATGGTGGGTATTGTCCATGGCTCCCATGGTTGCTCTTATAGCCAAGCATCTCTAGGATCACTGCTGCTGGAGTGTATATCAGCTCATTGGTTTCAGTGATTGTGGTGGTAGGTATTGCCCTCACTGCTGCATTCACGCTTTCTATGAGTCGCTTTCTGTGTCCATTCTTGATAGATATATATATATATATATATATACAATACACACACATGTGCTACATACCTATCTATAGAGCAATTGATTCAATAAAATAAATAGAAAAACTAAAAAAAACAGAAATCAAACCAGCTGATAAAGGGGGCACCCCCTTTATCAGCAGGAATCAAACAGGTTTGATTTCTGTTTGATTTCTGTTTTTTGTATACAGGATGCAGATAAATATAAAGCAGAAATCTTCTCACAGTTGTCAGATGCACGTATTTACAGAAAATTAAATCAGGGCCCCACAGTGTGCTTCCAACAAAAACCTTTGGCTTACCTCGAAGATGCCAAGATAAATAAATGGATCTCACTGATTTTGATTTTTTTTATTCTAAACACACTATTCGCCCAGTATTTTACACTTTACCTAAATCCATAAGTCTCTAATCAACCCTCCAGGTCGCCCCATAGTAGCACAAACTAACTCATTATGGTTTCTTCGGCCCACCTTTTGACCCTAGATGTAACCAGCCTATATACCAATATACCTCATGAGGTTTGGAGGCACTACGTTACTACCTACAGAATCACATTGACACGTCCTACCACCCCAACCAACTCATTATTGATTTGGCAGAATGTGTCATGACGCATAATTATTTTTTGTTTGATAATGACTTTTACCTCCAGATATCAGGCACAAGTATGGGGACTGTCTGTGCGCCTAATTATGCTAATCTATATATGGGGTATTTTAAAGACAAATTTATCTTTAACCCCACGCAAAACAAATTTCACCCAAACATCATTAAGTGGTTCTGGTATATGATATTTTTTGTATTTTTAATGGTAGCACTGCTGAACTTGATGACTTTGTGTCACTAATCAACAGTTTTGACCCAAATCTTAAGTTCACTGCACAATCCAACTCCTGCCAAGTGAGTTTTTTGGACATGTGGGTAATCAAGGACAAAGGCAGCATCATCTCATCCCTGTATAAGATAAGATAAGATTTGCTTTATTTATCTCACATAGGAGAAATTTACATGTCACCTTTGGCATGGATAGAGGCACTCAGATTGTGCAAAGGGAGGAAATGTGCAAACATGTTACATGCAGGATATATGTACAATAAAGTGACAATAATTATGTACAACAAAAGTGACAAGTGTCAATTGGAAACAGTGTCAATAGTAGTGCAGGTTTTCACACAGTGATCATTTAAAGTGACTTATTGTACAGTCTGACAGCGGTGGGGATAAAGGCCCTGCGGTAGCGCTCCTTCCTACACTGAGGGTGTCTCAGTCTTCCACTGAAGGAGCTCCTCAGCTCCTCTACAGTCCTGTGCAGTGGGTGGGAGGTATTGTTCATGATGGAGGTGGCTTTGGCTAGCACCCTCCTGTCCCTCACCTCCTCCACAGAGTCCAGGGAGCAGCCCAGAGTGGAGCTGGCCCTCCTGACCAGCTTGTTCAGTCTGTTTCTGTCCCGCTCTGTGCTGCCCGGGGCCCAGCACACGGCAGCGTAATAAATGGCAGAAGCTACCACAGAGTCATAAAAAGTCCTGAGCAGAGGCCTGCTCACTCCGAAGGACCTCAGCCTCCTCAGAAGGAAGAGGCGACTTTGGCCCTTCTTGTGCAGGGCGTTTGCATTATGGGACCAGTCCAGTTTATTGTTAATGTGAACACCCAGGTACTTGAAGCTGTCCACCAGCTCAATGTCCTCCCCCTGGATGTTCAGCAGCGTGTGGGAAAGTGGTTTTCTCCTGAGGTCGATCACCATCTCCTTGGTCTTACTGGTGTTCAAGCACAAGTGGTTGCGCTCACATCAGTCGACAAAGTCCTTGATAACCTTCCGATATTCCAGTTCGTTCCCCTCAGACACACAGCCCACGATGGCGGAG